TCTGGTTTCCAACTTATGCTTTGTGCTCTTCCCTGTTGGTAGTGATGGACTGTGGGTCTGCTTGAAGGCAGGTGTGTTTTGGAACCACCCTGGTGAGCTTCCTCTACTAGAGCTCTTCTTTCCTGTTCTAATAAACCCTGAGAGTATAGGTAGCATATCTTTTTCAGTGACTGATAGCACCCTACTTTTCATTTTCCATTGTGAAGGCAAGGGGTTGAGAGCTTCATGGTGAGTACCCAGAATGGGAGTGGAGTCAAATCCCAGTTTAACTTTGCTTTGGCTTCTATAGTTGACATACACTCATACACATGACCAGGCACACACAGGACAAAGGACAGAGAAGCATATTGGCACCCATGCTGGCCCTCCCCACATTTACACATACACACTAGCCACCATAAGAAAAGTGCTCAGCACATTTGATCACACATCCCAGATTGAGGGAGGTCATTCAGGATGAGGGAACGGGAAGATTGTGAGGCAGAACAGGAAGTGAAAGTCCAATGTCCCACCCTGTCAGCAGTAATTATGATATAAGGCATGGGTTTTGACAGACACACAGACGCCTGTCAAAATGTCCAAGGAGCTTCTCCTTCTCTGGCTGGTGACAGAGCTCTGGTGGCTTTATCTGAGTAAGTGTTCTGGAGGCTTCCATTCTGGGCCCCAGGGAGGGTAGACTGTAAGGTGGGGGTCCTACTAACACCTGCCTCCTTCTAGACTTACACTTTTTATAGGATATCGTCCTTGCCTTGTTACACAGAGTTTTTTTTTCCCTAGGGACTAATTTGACGTTCCAGGGGTGAGTTTATCTGTGCTTGGGTTAGAAATAACAATTTAAGCGATGGCATAGAAGAAACAAGGTGTCAAATGAAGGGCGTGAGAAATTTCATGCCCAGGCATTACAAAGCAAGAGGCAGGGGCTTTGTTCTACCAAGAGCTTTTTTTTTTTTTTTTAATATGCTTATCATTCCCTTTGTTTTCAGGAGATTTTATTTGCTTTCTATTTTATTTTGTTTTGCTAGCAGTGGGGCTTCATAATGAGTTCTCTCTCCTTTTCTTCTTCTTCTCTCCGTGCCCCCCTCTGATATTTTGAGACGAGGTCTCTATATTATGTAACTCTGCCTGTTCTGGAACTCACAGAGATCCTCCTGTTTCTGTCCCCAAAGTGTTGGGATTAAAGGCATGCCTCACCATGCCCTGCCATTGCCTCTGTTTCTTTGAGACAGGATCTCATTGTGTAGTCTAGGCTGCTTGGAAGTCAACAATCCTCCTGCTTCAGCCTCCTGAGTGTTAGGATTACAGGTGCCTGTCGCTGTGCCCAGCTACATGGAGGTTTCTCTTCGTCACACTGTTTGCAGATTCAGACTGACACAGATGAACCGTCAGTTTGGATGGAGACCCTGAGGTGTTTAGCAACCACTCTGCTTTGGGCTGCAGCCCTCCCACTCACTAATGCTGACATTGTGAATATGGCTTGCATCACTCTGCCTCCCCCTCTTCCTCTCATTCTTGAATAGAGGAGGTCAAGCCAGGTCTCTGATAAACAAAGCTTTTCCTATTCACCTGTAGCTTCCATTCTGCTTCAGGGGTTTCTGCTGAGTTCATATCATGGAGGTTCCTGTGTTAGAGAACTTGTCACCACACTAAGTGCTAGTTAGCTCTACTGCTTCTATCCTCAGATCCTCTGTACCACCCAGAAGGTGGGTGAGAACTGCTACATCACCTGTAACTTGGTACATGATGTCATGAGTACATAGACATTCCAGAAGCAATTCATGGAGTGAAGGCAGCCTCTGTTTTTAAATCTTCTGTTTGAATTTTACCCAAGCACTTATTTATTACTTACTTACTTATTTACTTATATTTATTTGAGACAGTGTCTAACAGTGTAACCCAGATTGGACTTCAACTTGGAACTCTCCTGCCTCAGCCTCCTGAGTGCTGGGATAACAAATACCTTGTCTAAGAAGTTTTTTTTGTTACATAGTAAAACTATAGAAAAAAATTGCTGGAGTTTATGTCCTTATGTCCCATCTGTGGCAGGACAGCGTGATGGGCTGCTCCAGCCTCCCTTCAAGGAGACAGCACCTGGTGAACTGATCTCTCTGTTTGCTTATTTAACTGTTGGATTTTGACATAGAGTATTGCTAGGTAGTAGGGGCTCCCTTAAGCTTGCAGGCCTCCTGCTTCTGCCTACTGTGTATAGGGATTACAGGTGTATATCACTCTGCCTGGCTGATTTATTTCTTTTTAATGTGTCTTTACTTAAATGGTCAACTGAGGAGATGGTGACCATTCAGAGTTTCCAAAGATCAAAAGTAGATGTCTCAGAAGAGGTGGTCCATGACATCTTCAATCCAGCAAAACTGAGGTTTGGATTGGGGAAAGGCCTAAAGGTCACCAGCTAGAGAGGAAAAGGGCTGGCAGTGGCAGAGAAGCTGTGTTCACATGCACCTGCAATCTGGGAGCATTGCACATGAGAAACTGATATGGTTGCTGTGATTTCGTTTCTCCCTTACACTTTCATAGCTAAAGGAAATGTTTCTCATTCTGTTTCTGCATCTAATGTGTGTGGTTCCTCATTCTCAAACTTTTAGGAATTCTATGAGGTTAATTGCATGATGTTTCTTGGCACATAGACCTTGGAACTCCTTTTGTGGCAAGTACTGCTCTCTGTGACTTGCGATAATGAAGAGTGTGGCTTTCCTTCAAGAACCCCAAAACACACACTGATAGAAAGTGACGTTCACAATGTCACTCCAGTGGGGATTTTTCTGCCACACCAAGTTTCTTGCTTCCTTTTTTGAATAGTAATTTTTTTATTAGGTGAGTAATATGGAAACTTTGGGGTGAAAAGAGAATAACATTATAAAGGTTAAATCCCTTTTGACCGCCATGCCAAGTTCCAGTCCTTTCCTTTCATCATGGAGGCATTGGTGCCATGAGCTTGCTGTCTACCTCGGCAGATACTTTCTAGGCATCTGCTTTCATACATCAGTGTCTATAAGAAGACCCAATGGTTTTGTTTATTTACTTCACAAAAGAGACACAATCAGAGTAATAATGCATATTTCAAGTTTTCTAAATCATTTTTAATGTCTCAGAGTTCAGAACATTATATTGTACCCCATAAATACATATATATGATGATTAGTTGTCCATTTAAAGAAAAATAAGTGGAGTCTAGAGAGATGACCTAGTGGTTCAGAGCACTTGCTTCCTTCCAGAGGACCTGGGTTTGATTCCCAGTACCCACATGACAACTTACAGCCAATCAAAACTCCAGTTCCAGGGGATCTGGTACTGTCTTCTGACTACCGTAGGCACTAGGCACACATGCAGTATGCTTACATACATACAGGCAAAATACTTACCTACATCAAATAAAAGCACATAAATGTTCTTTGAAAAGAGTAAATGAGTGCGTCAGGAGCTGTGACTGTGCCTAAGACCCGCACAAGATCAAGCCAGCAAAGGCCTAGCATGACTGTTAAACTGGTCATCAAGTCCCATCCCTAGTAGAGAAGCTGTTGGCAATTGATGACTGCTAGGAGAGGGACAGTCTGGTTGTTTTTTTTTTTTTTTTTTTTTTTTTTCAGGGCTGTGGGCCCTGACAGGCTACCCATGCTCTAGCAATTGATGCCCCATGCATGCTCACTGGCAGCACCAAGTGGACGCTCTTAGGTTTTTACACAAGGGAGCACATGAAGTTGGAAGGGTGTGGGGGCAATTGGGGAGAAATTGGAGGAGAAAGAATAGACAATAGATTTCATCAAAAATATATTATACACATGAGTGAAATTATTAAACAATGTTAAAAAGGAATAAATAAGTTAGGGCCTGCAAGGTGGCTCAGCAGGTAAAGGTGTGTGCTCTAGAGTTGTGGTTCTCAACCTTCCTAAAGCTGTGACCCTTTAACACAGTACCTCATGTTGTGGTGATTCCCAACCACAAAATTATTTTGTTGCTACTTCAAAATTATATTTTTTTTTTTTCGAGACAGGGTTTCTCTGTGTAGCTTTGCGCCTTTTCCTGGAACTCACTTGGTAGCCCAGGCTGGCCTCGAACTCACAGAGATCTGCCTGCCTCTGCCTCCCGAGTGCTGGGATTAAAGGCGTGCGCCACCACCGCCCGGCTTCAAAATTATATTTTTGCTACTTTTATGAATCATAATGTAAATATATGATATGCAGGATATATGATATAGGACCCCCAAAGGGGTTGTGACCCACAGGTTGAGAAGCACTGCTCTAAAGCCTAAAGATCTCTGTTCAATCCCCAGAACTAATGTGAAAGTAGGAAGGAACCAATTCACAAACACCCTCTGAGCATCACACACTCATTGTGGCATGTATACAACTCCCTACACACACACGCACACGCACACGCACACACACACACACACACACACACACACACACACACACACACACACACACACACACTACATTTTAAACAGTAAAGAAATGCATATCCATGAACTCTTCCTAACTTTGTATTACCTAGCAGCAAACAGATGATCCCGAGTGAGCAAGTCCCACCTCCATTTCTGAACATGGAGTAGGAAAATGGAGTCTACCTAAGAAGCTTTCTTTCCTGTTAGAATTCTGTCTGGGTTGGTTAACCCATTTGGGACACTCAATCAGCAGCATGCAATATCTGCTTAGTGAGATGATGGGAACAGGCACAGGTTTGGGTGGCTTTTGCTGAAATATGTGGGCAAGACTAATGGAATGGTGAGCAGAGTGTTTAAATTGGCTTAAAAAGGTCTTGCTGTGGAGATAAGTTTAGAGATTTCGTACCACCTGTCACTAATTTTGGGACGGAAGCTTGTGGACTTAGGTGCCCAGGAAAACAGGCAAGCACATCAACATTTGTGCTAAAGGAACAAAGGACTCTCTTGTCTTCCTGGAAGCCCCTATTTGTACACAAATGGTATTCAAGCGTATTCAAGAGATTTTCATCTGCATCACAGCTTTCTCACTTTCCCTTAGCACCAGCTGCCTCGGAGGATACAGTAATAGGGGTTTTGGGCCAGTCGGTGACTTTGCCTTGTCAGCACTCATCCTGGTCCGGGAGCCGCAACAGCATGTGCTGGGGCAAAGGTGCATGTCCCAATTCCAAGTGCAACCAGCAGCTTCTCCACACAGATGGAACAAAAGTCATCTCCAGGAAGTCGTTCAGATACGCACTTAGGGGGAGTATCTGGCAGGGCGATGTGTCCTTGACCATCTTAAACACCAATCAAGAGGACAGTGGGGTGTACTGCTGCCGTATAGAGGTGCCTGGCTGGTTCAATGATGTCAAGAAGACTGTGCGCCTGGAGCTGAGGAGAGGTGAGGAAAAAATGGAGCTCAGCTCTGAGAAAGAGCTCCGTGGTTTGTGGCAACAGATTCATTCAGTGGGTGCTGATGAAAAAGCAGTTTACCTGAGCAGAGGGTGAGCAGGCTGGATTTCAAGGGGTGAGCCACAGAGTGTGGGCAGGGAAACCCACATGCTAGTCACAGCCAGGACAGCCACGGAAGTGAATGAGGGGATCCAGCTGGTAAATGAAAGAGGCTGATGATGGGAGGTGCTATCTATCTGGATGGAGGCTTGTCCTCACCTTACAGGAATTTGGCTCCCCCTTTTTTTTGACCTCCCAATTTTTATGTGAATCACATTTTTTTCATATTGACTGATTTCCACATAATAAGAAAAAATTACCATGTAAACTGAATAATATCCATGGGTCAATTTTAGCCAACAAGCAAATGATTTCTGATTCCTGGTAGAGGGAGAAGGGCATTGGGTACCACCCCTGGCTGGTCTCATGCTCTTTCTTTCCATTCCTATCGATGCTTTGGGTAAACTTTGGGATGTGAAGGTACTCTTAAAGATTGGGCTGTGTAGAACAGGCCACATGGAGCTTATGGCTGATGTACATGAACAATAAACACCTTTAGGACATGGATGGCTATGTTCTTAGTCTGTTCAGATGGCTCTCGTGTTCTGAATTTGGAACTGGATGATTTTAGTTAGTGAGCTCCCATGCATATTTGCATATTTATTTTACTCTTACAGCAAATTTATGATATCAAAGAAGAGGAAAGAGAAGTTTATTGACATTAACTTAGTCCAACAGGAGTCATCTCTTTATTTATGTGGTATCTTAACTAGTTACTAGTTTATAAAACATTGTTGATCTCAGTACTCTGCAGGATCAATTCCAAGCTGAGTAGAACAAATGGTATCCTTTTGCTTCATTAAAGCCTATAGGAATTTGGCATATCCTGGAGAGGGTGAGAGTCATACAGAAAACTGTGAATAATGAACTCAAAATCTATGTAAATGAAGTGAGTCTCACCCGAAGTTGCATACCTAGGGATCACTTTGTGTATTTTAAGATAGATAGAATCTCACTATGTAGCCTAGGCTGACCTTGAACTGGAGATTCTCCTGCCTTAGGCTTCCAAGAGTTAGGACTAGTGGTGTGCTCTGTGACTCCTGGCTGTGGGCTCACTCTTATGCATGGATTCATTTGTATAATACCGGACACTGTGACAGGTGTTGGATTCATGGCACAGAACAGAATAAATGCTTGGTGTCCTTGTGTGTGATTGTATGGTGGGAGAAGCAGACATTAATCAGTGGTAAACAAACAAATGTGTAGTTATAAAAATACAATAGATGCCATGATGATCAAGTATTAGGGCGTATGACAGGGAAGACTTATTACTGCAGAGAGGAGAGCTTTTAGCTGAGATGTGAGAGCTCAGTAAGGGCTAGCCTACTGAAGAGGACCAACAGTTGGAGTAAGGATGAGGTAAAGCAGGTGCAGACATTGCTGCAGCTGGAAGGTCATAGGTGCAGGGAAAGAAATACAGAAAGGAGAGTTGGCTGAGGAAAGCAAGAAGGTTCTCTTCCAGCAACAGGTGATTGGAATGACAGAAGCGGGGGTGGCACCTTGCAGGGCAACAAGGAGGCCTAAGTGGGTTTTGTTTTTATTTCTTAATCTGATAGACAAAGAGAACTGCTGAGGAGTTTTCAGCAGGGCATGGGCATGCATAGATATTTTTAATAAGATTTCTGTAGCCAGAGCATGACAAATAGACCAGAAAGGATAGCAATGTGGCAAGAAACTCAGCTGTGGTGAGTGGTTCAGGCCAGCGGACCAAGAGAGGCCAAGAGAAGTGGAAAGATCTTGGGTTGTGTTTGTGGTGTTTCCGATTCCCCATCTCTACTTGATGTTGGATGCACCTTTTGTTGCTTACAGCCACAACAACCCCCAAACCAACAACCACCACAAGACCAACAACCACCACTCGACCAACCACCACTCCTTACTGGACCACCACAGAAGAGCTTCCAACAACAGTCATGACCACACCTGACCTCACAACTGCAACACCACCCCAACCACTGGCCACCATTGTCCTCACTACAGCAGTAACCACATGCCCCTCAACAACACCCAGCTCCTTCTCACAGGAAACTCCAAGATTTTCAACCACTGAGATCTTCACCAAGGGGTCTGCCATCACTGCAGGTGAGAATTGTCCATTCTTTCCCCTCTGCTGCTCAGAGAATGTTGTGGTTTCCCTTGGAATGGATTCTTCTACAGTGGCTAACCCAGTGACCTGCACGTGCGCTCATATGTGTGTGTTTCTTTTCCTTTATATTTGTGCAAAGTCAGCATTTTAGGCTCTCCACTTGACCTCTGTGGAGTCTTGCAGAATCTGTGTGTTGAAGGTTATCCAGGGTCAAACTCTCTCAGGAACAAAAATCTCTAAGTGTTTGAGATTGGTTGAAGTAAGATGGCTAATTAGTGGCCTTAAGATTTATACGAGGAGGGGGTTCATAATGCCCACCCCTTCCCAGCTCATGGTTTTAGGGGAGATATATTTTCTTCAGTAGACTACCCATGCTGCTGTAAATGACTTATCACCTATGCACCTATGCTCCTTTAAGCAATTCTAATTGACTCCTTGGAACACGCATGCACACACACACACACACACACACACACACACACACACACACACACTCACACACACACTCACACACACACACACACACACAGAGAGAGAGAGAGAGAGAGAGAGAGAGAGAGAGAGAGAGAGAGAGAGAGAGGTTGAGAAGAGGAAGAGGATCAGCAAGACTGGGAAAGAGACAAGAGAAGGTAATGGGATGAGTATAATCAAAATATATCATATGCACATATTAAAATGTAATAAATCCATTATGTATAATTAATATATGCTAATAAAAACTTTTTAAAAGAATGTAAGATATATTCCTTAACAGTAATCAGTTATATATTTGTGTCTTAACTTCTATTTTGTTCTGAATTTTTCTTGACCCTGAATCTCATAACTCTGGGTGGCCTACTCCAAGGCTTGGGGACTTGTTAAGGCTCCCACTATGCTTCTGATTATGGGGTAAAAAATATCAGAAAGTCATTGTGAAGTAGCTTGATTGCTTTTCCAGGCAATCCAGCTGCCTCCCAGAGGCCTGGATAATTCAAACAGGTTTTCAATGTTGAGTTGGTTAATTCTGTTATATTCTGAGTAGTCACTAAAATCCGTGAGCTCCTAATTAATCAAATTTTGTGAGTATTTTTGTTCCTTTGTGTTTTTTTTCATGGATGATCGTTTTTTTTCTATTTTTTAATTTTTTATTTTATAATACAATTTAATTTTACATATCAGCCACGAATTCCTCTGTCCTCCCTTCTCCTGCACCGCCCCCCGCCCCCCGCCCTTCCCCCCTTTGTGTTTTAAAACAATCATCTCATGTGTGTGCGTGTGCGTGTGCGTGTGTGTGTGTGTGTGTGTGTGTGTGTGTGTGTGTGTGTGTATGAGTGTGGAGGTCAGAGGTTGAGGCATTCCTCAATCACTACTCAACTTGTTTTTTGACACAGGATTTCTCATTGAACCTGGCTCACAGTTTCAGCTGGAATATCTAGGAAGCATGTTCCAGGGGTCTGCCTGTCTCTGCTTCCCCTGCTGGAGTTACAGGCACATATCAGTATGACCAGCTTTTTACATGAGTGCCAGAGATCTAAACTCAGGTCATCATGCTTGAATGGCAAGCACTGCATATTGTTTGAGCCATCTCTCCAAATTTAAAATAATCATCTTAAAACAAAGGTTATAATCTGTTTTTTTTTTTATTTATTTTTTATTTTTTTGGTTTTTCGAGACAGGGTTTCTCTATGTAGCTTTGTGCCTTTCCTGGAACTCGCTTTGGAGACCAGGCTGGCCTCGAACTCACAGAGATCCGCCTGCCTCTGCCTCCCGAGTGCTGGGATTAAAGGCGTGCGCCACCACCGCCCGGCTATGTAATCTGTTTTTTTAATTCTAAAAATCACCTTTAATTATTGAGAAAAACTGGAAATGTATCGATAATAACAAAGACGATAATAAAAAGAGTCCTGAATCCCACCATCCACCACACTGTTGATAGTTATCATTATTTTTTTTAACAGCTTAAAAATCTTTTTCTCCCCCAGAATCAGAAACTCTTTCTTCATCCAAGCACTCTCAAAGAAGCATGGTGACTACATCTGCAGACAGAGCCTTACTCATACCCACAGGTATGAAGACCAAACTCTGAATAAAAGTGATCCAGAGATGACCCCAATCCTTTGTGCCAGGATGTCCACCTGAGGCATGTGGACATCATGGCAGTGTGTGTGGTTGGTTCCTTCCTGTAGCTTGGAAGGAGGAGGGGAAGGGAAGAGGGAGGAGGGAGAGCACCCGCTTTAATTCATGGAGTTTTGGGGCTTGCACAAGACATCTCTGTCATGTTTACTATTACACTTCTGGCTAGAAACTTAGGAGGACTTTGTTCTCTCTTTGTTTTCCCAAGGGTCCCAAGCTTGGGTTCTTTCACAGCGGATGACACAGAAAACGGGTAAGTTTGAGAGTTCTCAGCATCGAGGTCAGGGAGGGCTCTCTGCTCTCTGAGTGGTTTGCCTCTGGCCCTGGGAACAGTCTGTCATCTGTCTGTGGCTCTTGGAATCAGCTCTTTTGGTTCCACTGTGGTTGTCTCCCACATCCTCCAGCTAGTCCAGAGGAAAGTGAAACATTCTTGCCTTCTGCTTTCTGAGGCCCCTCTCTTGAGGCCTTTCCTTTTCCTCAACAACTTCTAACTCAAAGCCAGGGATAGTAGCAAACAAATTGCCTTTCCATCTGTCAGCCAATTATTTATTGATTTTAAACCACACAGACATTATGCTAGTGCGCTTTTGTGAGGGGGACATAAAACAATGGGAAACAAAATTCTCTTGTACATTTTATACTCAATCCCAGCCCCTTCTCCTGACACAATCTGACTAGTCAGAACACTCTAGATAATTTTGTACTATTGCCTTATTTATATGTGTATTTTTCCCATTGAGAGTAACCTTGTAAAATTTATCTCCAGTATTGATGTTGTAAACTTTAGGGTCTTTGAGATATGCAAGCTTCTTGTATTGTACCTGGTACAAAACCCATTAGTTGGGCTCTCTTCATGGCTTTGGTTACTTCTTTCTGTGTCCCACAAAGCACTGTTATGTGACCATCCAGCAAACATAGAACTAACCTGGACAAAAACTGTACCTTCTTATACTCTACACATTTAGTTTATATTTTTACTTATTTCCTATTACGATGTGTGAATAGTGACATTTGTGCCATGACATGCACATGAAGGCCAGAGGACAAAGCTGTGGAGTCATGTCTTTTCTTCCACCTCTATCTGAGTTCTAGGGCCGTGAACTCATCAAGTTAGTGCTGCAAAAGCTTTTACCCACTAAACTATCTCACTGGCCCACACGGTACACTTAAAAGTTTTATACTGATTGACGTGTATGTATATGTGTCTGTGTGAGTGAATGCCACACATGTGTGGGTGCTCATAGAGGCATTGGATCCCTTGAAGCTGCAGTTTCAGGCAGTTGTAAGCCACCTATGTGGGTGCTTGGAACTGAGTCCTCTGGAAAACCAGCAAATGCTCTCAACTGCTGAGCCATCTGTCCAGCCCTACAAGATGTATTTGTTTGTTTGTTTGTTTGTTTTGTTTTTTTAAGACATGACTTCTCTGTGTAGCCCTGGCTGTCCTAGAACTCACTTTGTAGACCAGGCTGGCCTTGAACTCTCAGAGATCTGCCTGCCTCTGACACCCAAGTACTGGGATTAAAGGTGTGTGCCACCGTGCTTGGCTGTACTAGATACCTTTTTTAAAAGGCTCGTTATATAAGGATTTTTCCATTGGAGTGGGCAGGTGGATCCTGCTGTTTGCCTGTTTGTATTCGTTTCTGTCATGAACACCTCTTCCACAGCGCCTCACCAGTGCTGTGACCTCTAGAGCAGAATGCAGCCTTTCAGCTTCTTCCTGCTCTGCACCCTATAAACATGGCTGCCATCATTCCTTGCTGTTTCTCACCTACTCTTCTTCCTTGAGCATGTCATTTCTTAAAAAAAAAAAAAAAAAAAAAAAATCCATTAATGCCACATGAAGCCTTTGCATTTAGTTTTATTCATTGCATTTGTACATCAGACCACTTCCTTTCTCACTCTGTGTAGAGGCCTGCCTTGTCACATTAGCTGTTGTGAACTGTTTTATCACCTGTTGATTGGCATTTCAGTTGCCCCAGTGTTTTAGCTTTAGAGACAGCATAACTGTGCACTTCCTTCAGCCTGGGTACTTCCTTAAGTATTTATGCAAGTGTTTCTTGGGGCAAGCTGGCAATGAAGTAGAGATATTATATTGAAAAATGTGCACTATTAAATTTAATAGCTATTAGAAAATTGTCCTTGGAAAAGGCTGCACCAGTTTGTTTCTCCTCCCACAGATTATCTGCTTCTCCATATCCTCCCTCCACTTGATGCAACCATTTGTTCACTTTGTTCTTTCGGTCCCCCAAGAACGTGTCATCTTGATCCTCTCTTGTTCTCGTCAACAGAGCCGGAGCATCTTGCTTTGTGTTCGTTAGAGAAAACATCTATCCTTCAACTGTGTGGAGGAGGCAATGCAGCATCACTCTTGGAGGCTTTGAAAATAGGATTGCAGGGGACAGACAGGCCTGAGTAGAGAGGAGACGATGGGTCTTAATGTAGGACTATGAATCAAGAAGAAATGGGAGGGGGATCTGATGTTGAGAAGCCCTGACTTGTGCCCACTCATGGAGGGGGTGGATAGAAATCTGGACTAGGAGTTGACAACTTAGGGGAGACTGACTGTCAAGATTCATCATTCTTTGTTCATGAGTTGGGGTAAAGGTAGGTACTGTTTTCCAGTAAAAGAGAACGCAGGAAAGAGAAATGTGATAGAGGACAGGCAGAGTGCTTGCAAAACTATTACCTTTCATTCCACCCAAATCTTAAACTCATTTCTATTGAATTACAAGAGATCAAGATGTCATCTGATGTGTTCCCTACTATACTGTCCCTGATAATTGTCATTTCACTTCTCTGCGGCCAAATCTCAGCAGACAGAATTCTTGCTGCCCTGTCGATGGGCTACACGGCAAAAGAGGACCATGTTGTAGGAGGGACCATCTCCATGTCACCTGTCATTATGGAAGAAACTGGGTTCACTTAGCATCTATTAAGTGCTGGGTCAACGCTAAGGTGTTTTCATGGACCACTTCATGAAGGATCTCTTTGGTAGATATTCAGAGTCCTATTTCATCTAAATGTCCTGAGGCCACACAGCTCTCAGTTGCTCTGTCCTGGCAGTCCACTTGTAATGGCCCACCTCTTAGTTGTTGCTTGTGTTACAGTTATCAAGTGTTGGGGGCACTACAAAAGCTCATGTGTCAGGGAGCTGGATCTCCAGCTATTGATGCTATTTTATTTATGTGCGTCTATGTCCGTGTGTGTGTGTGTGTGTGTGTGTGTGTGTGTGTGTGTGTGTGTGTGTGTGTCCATGTCACATGTGTGTGGGTTCCCACAGAGGCCAGAAGAGGGCATCAGATCCCCTGGAGCTGGAGGTCTGAGCAGTTGTAAGCCACCCCACTTGGGTTCTGGAACTGGACTCGGGTCCTTTGGAAGATCAGGAAGAACTTTCAACAGAAAGGCTGTCTCTCAGCTTCTAGGTCTTTGGGGTTCCCTGCCTGTCACCCCTTTGACTCTCTGCTTGCTATCTGCAAGAGATGAATAACTTCATCTGCCACATTAGACTCCCCAAAAACTTCTGCACTGCTTCAAACGATTAGTAATTATAATTATAATTCAATTGTAAATACAACCAAATAAGAAAAACTCTGAAGAAGGTTGTACATGAGTTTCCTTCTCTTCCCAGACGTAGACATTGCAGGATTCTCCAGTCCTTTGTACTTCATAGCAGAAATGTGTGACATGGTCCCTAGTTATCCGTTCTGTTCATGGATTCCTCAATCCCTTCTTGTAGAGCTCCTCACGGCCTTCTGCACAGTGTCCAGTAGGGGTGAAGAGAGGTCTATGGGAGCCTAATGTCACATGGTTATATCACCATTTTGTGGCGATTCATTTTCATTTTTAACAATCTTGGGTGAATTACTTTGTCCTTTTCTATATCACAGTTTCTTCAAAATATAAGATACAGATGACAGTGGCGCTTGTATCAGGGCTGTTAAGAACAGAAATGCAGGAGGAAAGGCTAGTGTGTAATTACTGACTGGTAAATGATAGTCATCATGAAAGATCCCTTTTTCCTTGATTCTTTACTCTGCTGCTACAGCCCTCCTTTCAGGCTGGTGCGGAGGATATGTAATAAGAGGCCATTTACACCGGCTCTAACTTGATATTCTAAGAAGAGGGATACTTTTGAGTTTCATGGCATTTTTAAAACTGCTAATCACGCTAGGGGAGCAGCTGATGAGCGACACAATGACAAACTCTGGGAGGTTTCCGAAGCTTTTAAAAGTCTTACAGTAGTAATTCTCGACCATCAGGGAGGGTGAGGTTTGGAAAGCTTCCATTGCCTCTTTTCTAGACAGCTTTGTTGACTTTGCAATCACTGGTTTTACTGCTGGGGGTGCGGTGGGGTGGGGTGGGGCGTCTTCAGTCCCCTCTCACCTCTTGGTTGCTTTGTCCTTTTTCTCGGTCTGTGGAGGTTCCGCTTTACATCTAAGGAGTGGAAATCAATTCATGGCTTAAAAAAAAAAAAATAAGACCTGCAGTTCAGTCTTTTCTTCAAGGACCTCTAGATTTCTGCAGATTTATTTTGTAAGGCAATTCTATGTACATATGTCTTCTAGTTCAGTGTTCTCTACTTTCAAAGTGTTTGGTCTTCAGTGGAAGAAGCCTTACCCAGGATGGCACATTCTCGCCTCCATGCTCTTGCTATGTGAAATGTCCTAGGACTTGCCCAAGATCAGACAGCTACATTAACAGAGAGCTGGGACTAGCAGCCACATTTCAGGGATCTTCATTTTTAACCTTGGCTCTAAAAACATAAGATGGGGAAGTAGCATAGAGGAGTACTATTTGTAGAATAGTGGAAAACTGATCCCATTGATCTTGAAAAAAATACTTTTTAGTGTGTGTGTGTGTGTGTGTGTGTGTGTGTGCATCAGAATGTGAGCATACAAGTACGTGTGTTCCTATGGGGGGGGGTACCTGTGCATGAGAAAGCTGGATGACAACCACAGCTCAGATGTCATCTTCAGCTTCACCATCCTCCTCTTTTTGAGACAGAGTCTTTCATTGGCCTGGAGATCACCAAGTGGACTAGACTGTTGGCTAATGAGCTTCAGGGATCCTCCTATCTCTGCCTCCCAGTGCTGAGAGTATAAGTGCATGCCATCATACATGCCATCATCATACATGCCTTTTTACACAGGTGCTGGAGATGGAAGGTCCTTGCACTTGGAAGACAGGTGCTTTCCAGATTGTTCCCTTCCCCCACCTCTTCGGATTGACCTTTGTTCCTGGTCTGGCTACCAT